GCTAATTTCAAATAAATGATTATTTGAAATTAGCATACAATAAAAGAAATGATAAATATAATAAAAGGACAATATAATTAAATAAAGAAATGCCAATTAATTTATAAATTAATTTTGAGTTTTTTTTTGCTAATTTCAAATAAATAATTATCTTTTTTTTTTTCCTTTCCAGAAAATGTTCACTTACAAAAGGCTGTTTTGGAACTAGCTTGGAGCAGCAAAATTGTAACGAAAATCCATGTCCAGCAACGACAGCAATTGGTCAATGGTCAGGTTGGTCTGAATGGGGAAGTTGTAGTACAACATGTGGCGGTGGTTTTAAAAGGCGTACTCGTTTATGTCAAAATGGAAATTGTAATGGTTCATCGAAAGATTCATTACCATGCATGATCAAACATTGCAAAACAATTTCATCTGGAAGTGTTGCTTCTTGGGGCGGTAAGTATCCTTCTACAATCACTGATATGATTATCAGAGCTGATAATGCATTCAAATATATCACAACAATTATCAACCAAACATCTCTTCCAACTACATTATCACCAATCATTGATCACTTCAATTCTACCAATGGAACTGCCAAAAATTCTGTAAAGCGAAAATTTCGCCGTTTTTGGTTATTTAATAATGGTTCTCTGTCAAGAACTGCTGCTAAATATGATCCGATACTTTTACATAATTTTTTATAAATTTCTTTTTTTTTTAAATTAATTAGTAAGCTTTATTGTTTTTCTTTTTCTTCTGCTTCTTTTTTTTTTCTTCTTTAAACTTTTTCCAATTTTTCAACAACAAAAAAAAACCCCTATGTGCATCCTTTAAAAAATTTTATTTATTTTTTATTTTTTGAGTTTGTTTGCTATATTTCATATTCAAGCATGTCCTCATAATTTCCTATGAACGAAGATTTAGTTTAATATCTTTCGCTTCTTTTTCAACATTAAATTTAAAAAGTTAATGAAAAAAGTGAAGTTGAACTCGGGAAAGTGATGGAAAAGCGGTGAAGTTTTAATTAGAATTACTTAAATTCAATGAAACATCAAATAAGAGATTTTAGGTTGGGGTTATTGGTCACCGTGCTCTGAAACATGCGGTAGAGGTGTTCGTAAACGTGTACGCAAATGTTATGGTTCAGGTGGACAATGTTCGGGAAATGAATATGAACGACAAATATGCAATATACGACGGTGCTGAAATGCATGTTTTCATTATCATTGATTTAATTATGCAAATACCTTTTACGAGCATGTCGGCTTATTTAGCATTCTATGCATGAGAGCATTTATTTCTATTATTCTCGTTATTATTATTCTTTTTTTTTTCTCTCTCTCTCTCTGTCTGTCTTTTCTTCATTCCTAATTTATTAATTATTTTTCTTTTTATTAAAAAAAATTTTTTTCTCATTTTTTTGAGGTTGCGAGTTGCATGTTCGCTACATTTTTCGTTTTTTTTAATCAGAATATCATATATTTTGTTTATGTGATATTGATTACTGATGATTTATTCGTTAACATTGTACTCTTTAAAGAAGCTTTGAAGCAATGAATTTATATTTTACTAACGTTGTGTATTTAAATTGAATTTTCAATATTTCATTGAATATGACTACGTTTGATTATAAATTTGTTTATTTTTTTTCTTTTCAAAATTCTCGTCTATCTTTTTCTCAACAAAATTGAATTTAGCATAGCATATCTGATATTCATAAGGAAAAATGGCAATCAAATTAACTTTTCAAAAAATAAAACTCCATACTTTTAAAACATTTCAGAATTTATCCCATTATAGCACTTTAATCGATCTCCTTTATTCTTCTAGTAGCAATTATAAACAATGGCAATAATTTATAATATGATATTGATTATAATTGATATCAACGATAATGATAATGATAATAATAATAAGAAGAAGAATGGTATAATAGTAATGAGGATCGTGGCAATGATAATAATTAATTAACTTGCAATAATTGATAATGATATCGATATTACCGTTGTTAATATTCATCTTTCATTCAGCTAACTTTAATATTATTTTCAAATGAGAGTAATAATATAATAATTCCTTAAATGAGAATAATAATTGATAATGACATCGATATTACCGTTGTTAATATTCATCTTTCATTCAGCTAACTTTAATATTATTTTCAAATGAGAGTAATAATTGATAATTCCTCAAATGAGAGTAATAATATGATAATTATCCTGTAAAATTAATTGTGGAGATCGTTAGAGAGAGAAAAAAAATGAAAATTAATTTTTCTAATTGCAAATCTTTTGTATTATTCATGCAATTTGTTACTTCATCTTTATGAAATGTTAATTCTGATCATTTGCTTAATTTGTTTATTCTTTAGTAAGGGTTACCTCAGAATTTGTTTTATATCTTCTCTCTCTTTCTTTTTCTTTTTTGAATACATTATATTAGCAAAAGAGTTTTTTTTTTGTCATTAAATTTTCAAAGTACAAAGCAATCAATAGAATGGAAAAGTTGAAATAAAATTAACATTTTTTTTTTTACTTTCAAAATAAAATAATAAATTTTTATAGCAAAAGAATGAGCTTTTGCATTTGATAAAATTTCTTAAAAGCAAATACATTTAGTAACACTCATTCTTTTTTTTGTTTTTTTTTTTTT